TTTTTAATTTTATTTTCCTTTTTTGACAGTTGACAGTTAATCTGTGAAAGGATGCTGCATATTTCTAAAAATACTTCAACACAGAGAGCAGATTCCAATTTGCATTTTTTTAGCCTCTTCACTACCTGCTGATATTCAAAATACCCAAAGGCAAAGATAAAGAGCCTTTTTACCGTCTCTCATTTGTTCCTGAAAATGTCACCTAGGAAAACTTATTGTGAACCCACAGACTATGCAAAAAAAAAGTCTTAAAAACCCTTTACAGAGAAGAATAAAGTTACCTGCATTCCTAAAGAACACAAAAAAAGTCAGAGGTCAGCCAGTTATGGAGCACTGATCTGCAGCTGGAGCTTTTACATTTTCCTTTCCTCGTTAATCTACCTAAACACTAAAAATAAATAAGAAAAACCCTGTGTCTTACCTCAATCAACAGGTAGAAAATTAACAATAGCTTTCTAAGCATGCTTCTCATGTACCAGCTAGTATCTAAATGCAGGAGAAATAAAAGGCTAGTCGTCATTGGGTGGAACCAGTCTTTACAGCCTTTTAACCCTCTCAGGCTCAAATTAAGTTTTTGTTGCTAATGCACAAAAGAATATCTACAGTGGTACTTCTGAGTAAAAAAACCTCATAAAATATGTATGTGAGGTAATCAGGTTGTTAGCTTTTACTTGTTGCAAATCTGCAACGCCTGCCTTGAGAGGGTTAACTGATTATCCAGAGATGATTTTTCTTGTGATGAATGTTCTAGAAACTCAGGGGGTAGGTATCCTAGTTAAAAGGACATTTATCCCTTCTGCTCTTTTTCTAATTCACTTGAAATAAGGCTGCAGGCAAGAAGATGCTGCCTGACAGCTTTTAAACCCAGTTCAACGTCAGTTAAGTTTTCCATTGCAATTACTCTCACTTCAAATTTCTTGAAATACAACTATGATGGCAGAATCCTAACTAACTAAGTTGCTCTAGTATTATCTCTACTAATAACTGTAATATGTAAATTGTATAAATCTGTTGAAGCAAGATGTGATTTGGGGTCAGGAAAAAGTTTGCCCCGGACAATGAGAGGCTCAGAATAAAATCAGCCAAACCCAAATGAGAAGGCTCTGTGGGTGTGTCTTGGTATTACCATAAGACTTGGTCTTTGGTGGAGAGATGGAGCCAGACATTTAACCTTTCACAAAAAGAGTGGATTGAAATGTCACTGAAAAATAAAAGTAGCAAAAAAGTTCCTGTGTTCAATCAGTGTTGAAGGTTCGTTTCTGGAGCCAGAACCTAACAAAGGTCCAATTACAGCGCACCAAAGACTTTTCTACTTTATATTGTTATAAGCTACTCCATGGTCTCAGGATTTTAGAAGGATTTGTGGTTGTACCATACCTATAGCGTAGGTTTATTCCACAGGCAGTTATCAACAGTTATCAATATTTGGTGGCTTCCTTTTTTATGAATTCAGATAAATCTGAAGTTGCAACATGCTGTGGTCCAGTGTTCAGCACCTCCACACTGTATGAAGGTCCTGGGTTCAAATCCAGCCCGGCCTTTCTGTGTGGAGGCTGTATGTTCCTTTTGTGACTGCATGGGTTCTCTCCTGGCATTTCTCCCACAGTCCAAAGATTAATTTGTAATTTTAAGTATAAAGTGAGTGTGAATGGTTGTCTGTCTGTCTTTTGCCCGGTAATAAACTGGCAGCCTGTACAGGTTAGGCTCCACCCTCCCTTTTGTGACCCTGAATTGGATAAGCAGAAGACAAAGGATGGATGGATGGATGGAATCTACTGAACGGTCATCACATGATTACCAGTGTTTTGCTTGCTTGCTTGACCTCAAGTAAATTATAAACCAACAGGCTCCCTACACAAAAAAACTCTTTCCTCTTTCCTACAACTTCTCCATGTTCACATGTGGGAACATGTTTATTCTACAGCTATAACCTGTAAGCAATATTAAGGTATAGCTATTTATAGCATCCTTTTTGGCTGTGTGTTTTTAATTAAATATGAGTTTCACCAGAAATGAAGCTACAGCCTGTATGCTGCCGTCATTCAGCGTCATAAAACATGTCAGAGAGTAAAATCGTTTTATACATTATGTTCCGCTCAAAGGAAACCTGACCGACAGCTGAGTTTATGTGCTTGTTAAATGGATGGAGTTTCAATCATGTTTTGAGCGGGTGGTGTTAAAGCTGCTTTCATCACCCTACAACTGGAAACTATTATGGAGCAGCGGGCCAATTAATGGACTATGTACCTTCTGTTTTGGGGAGTACCTCCTGGGTACTTTAACTCTGCTGCATGCAGAGTTAAAGATTGTTAACTTCATGCTGTACATTTGTAGCCCACCCAGCTGCAATAAAGGTGCAAAACATCAGCAAAGCAGGTTAAGCATCAGATTGAAATCTACAGTACATGTGCACTAAATCAAGCCTAACCCGCTCACACATGGGAAAAACCAGTGGACAGCTGGGAGATTTTTTAGACATACAGGCTCTAATTTAAAACCAGCGGAGTTAGAGAAGAGACCAAAAATAAATATGGCACATCTGGAGCAGCCAAACCAAAAATACCTTTCAAATTCTGTAGAGATCATCCAAAACACACACAAATACACACAGATAAGCAGATTTGCCACCATGCTGCCATTTACTTCAGTGTATTGGTGCAGATGGAGTGTAAATAAAGAAAAACATACTTTGGATCAACTTGTGTTCTAATCCTTTATGAATCAAATCAAACGGCCTTGTGTTTTAGCCTAGTCGAGCCGGTCTAGAGGTTCAGGGATTTAAAGCCATCAAGGATTTTTGTTACATGTCATTGTTTATCGCACTTCTTTCCTCATACGATGATTTAGTGTTTTACTATCATACAGCAGGTGTGCAATTTCCATACTGAGTCATATATGTTAATAAATGCATATATGCTACCCAGCAAAAACAAACTAAAGAGACTGAGGCGTTGAGATTTGGTAAAACCTGTGAGGTCTAAAACACCATCAGTGATAAGTCCTTTAATCCTTAACCCTATCAGAACGTGGTTTGTTCTGGCAAGTAGATAAAAAAAAACAACATTTTAAGAAAAAGATCAAGTATCAAAGTCCTTTTTTCTTTCTTCAGAATGCACAAAGAGGTTTGTAAAGCACCAATGTACTCCTCTTTGCATCTAATTACACCTAGCAACGGCCAGAAACCACTTGCCAACCCAAAAACACAATTAAATAAATAGTACAATAGGGTAAATTATATTATTTAGACAGAAAAATAAGTTTTAAAAAAATGTATAAATAAAGATTAACAAAGTAAAAAGAATACAATAAAAAAAACTTTGCAAAAAGTTGACTATAATACAAATAGAATAAAACAACGAGAGTTGAACTGAAAGCCACACCCAGGACAAACACTCACAGAGCTCTGTTTATGTGCATGTGTGCGTGTGGTGAATGGTATTAATCTGCTGTCCAGTCACTTTGGCCTGGAGCCAGTCTGGTTACACATTACTGACATTCCAGGAGTAAGGGCAGCTTCTACCTAACATACAGTCACTGTACTGTAACTGTGTGGAGCGATTAGGAGATTAAAGCTTTCCCACAGCACCAAAACGGGCACGGCACTCAATCTGAATAAAAACGCAAGACAAAAATTTCTCCAGGACTCAAATGCCTTAAAAATACTTAAATATCAGCAAATGACAGTAACATGAAACTGTCCATATATTAGATTTCCCGATACGTTTATAATATATTTTTGGCAATTTTGTTTAGATTGCGCAGTGCGCATTGACAGGAAATGAGGAAGTGGCATGCGCTAAAAATCCAACAGATTGGGAGTCAAACTGGGAATTCAGCTGTTATTATGCAGCATGCATAATACTGCCTCTACTACTGGGTCAAACCAATTACTAGATAAGTTAGAGGATTATGTACTCCTTTCTGGCCGTCAAGTTAAATCCATGCTAAACCCTTCATAAAGAAATGCATCCTCTCAGCAATTTAATGTTTAGTTCATGTAAGTGTTGAAAAATTAATGAGAGAAAGAGAAATATAATTTGTTGCGTGTGTACAGTGGCCTGTTAAACTGGTTTCTATGTTCATACATGACGTGAATGAAAGGTTACAGTTATATAATCATGGACAAGATAAAGCAGAGAGGTTTTGGTGGAGGAGTGCTATCAGCTGGTCTGTGAGATGGATGATCTGCAGCACTGCAGGCATAGTTACACTACATTACATACAGCCTACAGAACTAGTCAGGAAGTATTTGAGGTATTCACCGTCTCTGCATTAATTCAAAAGTAAGCAACAGTAATAATTACATTTATATTAAAACCAGCGTTTATGAAATGCTTTGACAGACAGTTACATATTAGGGCCAAATATATAACAGAATAATGTCAAAGGAAGTTTTTTTTAAAAAGAGAACAAAATATGCATATTTCCAACATAATTAATAAATCTGTCATCCTCAGATTTAAAATTTTATCCTTTTGAATAGCAGGACCCCACCTGAGGATCTAAGCCTCTGCATGGCTTGTGGCCAGACATAGACTTCTTTAAAAGTATAAAAATCTTCAGATCAACTGGGTCAGTTCACATAGGGAGCCAATGAAGAAAAGCCAGGATAGGTGAGATGTACCTACTAGAGATGTGTCTGGAGTAAATAAAAGCATGAATTACTTTCTCCAGGTTGGTTCTTCAGAGCATCCATTTCACTTTAGATCTTATTTGGAAGAATCTGGGATGGACAGCTCTTCTTTATATGTTGCTCAAAGTCTAAATCTACTCTGAAGTTTCTTTCATG